TTCTGAGCACCCACGGGGCTCCAGCCTCCTTGATCCATTTCCATTTGACTCCATTTGCATCCTTGCAAGGAAAGGACAGAAGTCCTAAAATGCAGGAATACCTGGGGGACACTGTGAGTTTGGGTCTTCCCAGCTTCTTGGCTTCACGGTTAGTCAAGTCCCCTTTCTAACTATCAGCTTCTCAGAGCTGCCTTGCTTCTCCCTGCAGCGGGGAGTTTTACAACGACTGACAGAAGCAACTTTAAGAATCTTAGAAAAACAGTCAGAGTTTCCCTCTCTTCCTGGTGGGGTGCAGCAGCAAACACACCAAAGCCAAATCTTTCTGTCTGCTCTAATTATCAGCAAGGATACAAGTCACCATGAGGAGAAAGGTAGCAAGCCTTGTATCTGAAACTCTTTGGAATTAATTGTAATCCCTTGGCTGGTGGTTTCAGTGATAGGAATGGACACAGTGGATGTGTATTTTTTTTCCATCTCTTTTGTTTTGTCTCTTCTCTTTTTGCAGTTTTTGCATCTAGAGAAGCCGTAGGAGACGTGCAGGGAACATAGAGGGATTTGAAATAAGACCTCAGATTCCCGCTCAGTTTTCATTTTTTCCCTCTCCGCTTTCATTTGAAACCCATTCTGAACTGAATGCCACAGACTTATTTAACCTCTGCTCTCAATTATCCCTCTCCACTCTGGATGATACCAGTGGAAATGGCCTCAGCTGCACCAAGAAGAATTTAAGGTTGATGTAAGGAAGAACTTTCTGACGGGGAATTATATAGAATGGGTTACTCAGGGGAGTGTGTTGGAAAGGGTGACAACCCTCCCCTGCCACCAAAGTTGGGCATTATCTCCAGAGACATTTCTGAAAGCTGCAAAGATTCTTTTCTATCTTTCCAGGGACCAGATTGGCTTTACTCAACAGCAGGGGGATAGACCCAATGGCTCAAGGTCCAAAAAGGAATCTATGAATATTGAGATTAAAGAAGAGACAGGACCCTGGAGGCTACTGGTTAACTTCAAGCAGGATCTGGTTCCTAGGCAACACACATTTCTCTCAAAACTAACACCAGGGGTGAAATTCCAGAATTTCCAGTATGCTGCTGTGTCCTGTTACACTTACTTGGATGGACAGTCAAAGTGGTTCCTTGTCCAAATGTCAGCTTTCCATAGCCAGCACCACCACCAGTGGTAACACTGCAATGGAAGCCTTTGCAAGAACCCCGGGGGCACTCCAGAGGCTCACAGACAACTTCCTCTAATTCTGGGGAGAAGAGATTCACCCAAAGGGGTCTGAATCTGGGAGAGCCTCTTCCCACCGTAGGTCAGAGAACCATTTCCACATCTGGCCCTGGGACATTGACCCTCCTGCATCCCCACCAAGGGCCTGTTTCCCGTCTCTCTCCATTTCCTCTGGTTTCCGTCCTGAGACTTACTGATTTCTCATGTTCAGCATTTCTCTTTCTAAAGGTCTCATTTCCATTCTACAGCATCACTTTCAGGACAATTTCTCTGATCAGTTTTCAAGACATGTCCTCCCCTTCCTTCGAGGTGTCACGCATTTCTGATAACAATGAATTGATTACAAGGAGACGTGAGGAGAGTGTTCAGCTTTCTGGAGGCTGACGAGAATTTGATGAGGTTTAGGTTCCAGCCCCAGGAAACACCAACTCCTGAGCTTCCCTTCATGCCCCAGCGTAAGGAATGAAAATGATGGGCACATTTGACTGAGCTTTCCAGTCAGCCTTGAATGTGAATGACTCACTGCTGTGAGTAGTATCTCACAGAAAGTTTACATCCAAGCTTTGTTACAGTGATTAACTATCCTGGGGGCTGTTTTGGGTTTAGCAAAGAAAGGCCTTTATTCTGGGAGGCCCCTCAATCATAGGCAAATCAGGTCAGCTGGTCAACCTAGAGTCTCAGCCAAGGTGTCCTGACCTCACAGAGCTGCCCAGCGGCTATAGTGGTGGCTAGTTGAGGCCTCTGTTAGAGGCAAGCTCTGGCATATTTACTTGGAGTTGCTGTAAATTTCATCCTTTGACCAAACACAGCTTCCATTGCTGACAGTCACACCCATAGGAAGCCCAGGGGTCTCCCTGGCTGTGTCTGGTGGCTGCCACAGATGTTGTGAGTAGCCAGATACAGGCAGTCTCATAATTTGACACCCCTGTGATCAAACCCTATCTCCAAAGAAGATAAAAAAAACAAATATTTTAGCTCCTTAACTTCCCTCAACTTTTAAACTCTTCAACTGGTGTGACTGAATTTGTGCTACTCTCACTAGTCAAGCAGCCACTTACTAACAAAGCGTCAACGTGAAACATGAAAAGGGTGAGGAAACTAGGCTATTATTTAGTAAAGAAGAAGTGACATCTGCTTTAAGGACAGTGGTCAGAGATTCAAACGACACTTCGCGTCTCTTCCTTTCTCAGCATCACTGTATACAGAGCTCCCCACACCCTTCTCCAGCCACTGAAACACCAGGATGTAAGCAAAATTCGATGCCTGCCATCAGCTAAAGCTCTCGAACAGACGGCACCAAAGTGTTGCTGTGGCAGTAACCTCTGGGCTCTGCTGATTGAAAGAAAACACAATTTCATCATAGGTCCCTTGGACTCCAGCCTTGCCTTGGTAGACCTTGCAGAAGAAGAGTCCATTGTATGGAAAACCTGGCCTACAGTTACTGTCAGGAGCTCTGGAAAGATGCTCGCCCTGCACAGGTATTTTCTTTGCATGGTCAGGCTGGCCTTTTCTACATTTTACTGTGTAGGGGTTACAGCTCTCAGTCCCCTAAGAGGCCCACCAAGTGCTGAGAGGGGCTCCTGGCTTCTCCAGCATTCTGGAAAACCCACCACAGAGTTCTCCCTAGTGTGTTTCCAGCGAGACAACAAAGATAACACCTCCTGTCTGGTCCCCTGTCTCAGCTGCCCACTCCCAAAAAGGTGATGATGTCCTTGAGTCTCCCAGGAGGTTCACACGAATCCCCTTGAAGCTTTAATTAGCTAGGACCTCAGAGACTACTGAATGCAAGGGATTCCACAATATACGCGTTACTTCCCTATTTCTGTTGTTGCAGACATGTGCTGGTTTTGCCCCTGCTGAAAAAGACACTTC